ATCTGTCGACACAAGTTTACCGTTTCATCAGCTAAACATGTCTTAACTCAATTCTATCGATCTCTGTTGTCGAAACACCGAATGTGATTTTTCGTCGACCAACTCCAATGCGTGTGTCTGCACTGGTGCTTGGGAAGCCATGTCTGACATTCTATACCGCCATAGCACCAATGGAGACGTCAGTTAGTTGCTGAAAGTAATTGGCCCATAAAATTGGACAAAATTATTCCCCAGTAACATCGCAACTTCCCCCCATCAAATTTCTCTGCCATCTAGCCAGGAGTGTAGGTCGGGAATAGGTATCGCTTACTACTCCAGCCCGGTACCTCGAAACCAGTAAGAAGTGTTTAGACTGCAGTGATTGTGTGAAAACAACTGAATATTTTGTTTTCGGCGTCCGTGCGGTTCTCTCTTACCTGCTTGCATTACCTTTCTACTGTCATGTATTTGAATTGTAACACAGGCACCCTGGAATAAAATACCAGGTCACCGCGACACAAGTTTACCGTTTCATGAAGTGTTTACCAGATAAAGCCGCATTGTTTGAGCCAATTTAGGCACTAACTTGTTTTCGAGATAGGCTTTGCCCAGCGCACTTGGTATGTGATTCTGTCAATGCAGACTCCTTACACAAATTCCATGATTACACGACAACTGTAACGTCTCGGCACTAAAGGTTTCCAAACCGTTGACGCGGTTTCAAAGACTTGCGTTCACAGCCGTGGTTCCCTGATGTGATTGGATGGATCAGTTTGGGCTACAATATTCTCACAAGGCGGGATCAGGACGTTAGAGCACACTGGAAAGCTACTCACTCGCTTCCAACGGTACCAGAAGGGACACAACATCACAATTAACGCAGTTCAATTAACCTTCGTTCCACTTTGAAACTGTTTTATAGTAAAAACCGAACGATTACAAGCTGGGTTGAGTCAGAGATTTATCACCTCATTTTATATCTCCTGAGATGTTATCGATATCATTTTCAGGATGGAATTCCTCGACGCGATATCTTTCATGTTTGCATATTGTCCCGTGAAAGCTACGTGATCAACCGAACTTGACACCGAGATCTCATTTGATAACACAAAAAACGATCGCTCAGCACTACATCGAAGCCGCGCAGAAAAAGCACCAAGTGTGGCTGACGGCATACTGATGACAGCGAAAGAGTTAACACGGTTTTGGACTACTTGATCCTGAGCGTTTGCATTGTAAAAAATTGAAAAATTTCAGGTGGCAGTGAAGACAAATTGCGGACTGATAAAGACCGCAGCTTGGGAAAAGAAAAGGGTTGAATAGGCCAGGCAATTCTGCTTGATAAGATGCTAAAAATATGACAAATTGCGTAGAAATCAATAAGGGGGCAAAATCAGCTCGTCATTGTGAGTATTTCAATGGGAAACGGAAGGAAGCAAATCAGCGGAGAAAAATCACAGATATAAGCGAATGTCATCGTAGATTAGGCGACAGAATTTGTTCACAGCTTTCCCTTAAGAACAGCTCAATTGCAACTGAAGACGGTGAAAAGACGAAGATAGTCGAAAAGGGTACAATGATGTACCTCGAGTGAGTTCAAATCAGTGAATACTAGGGGACAAGAGAGGAATAAGAGTGGGTATGGAATACTAGACGTTGCGCATCAGTCGCTTGGCATGATTGTGCTCGTGGATAGCGGACGACTAGTAGTAGGTCTCACGTTCGACCCAATTGCCAGGGGGCAGGGTACGCAAAAGCTTCTTACGCACCTCGTCGAAGATGAAGATTGACAAGCTAAATGGCAGGGCTGTAAGCCACCAAGTCCATCTAGAAAACATAATAAAACATGTCCCCTGGTGGTGCCGATGGTGGTGGGAGCGAAAGTGGTAGTGGTGGCGGCGGCGGCATAGAAAGTGTAGATCACAAAACAGAATCAAACACCTACCGAAGGGGCATCATCCGCAAACCCTGTTCAAGACCAGGGCAATACGACAGGAAGAGGGCCAGGGTGGTCTCGAAAAATAAACCGAAGGTCAGCTGGTGATTCCTCACGCCCTGATGAAAGAGGGAGTTCGTACGAGTCTTGCAGATAACCAAGTCCGTCCACTGAACAACAACAATGGAGACGAAGAATGCAGTGTGACACGTGTACTCGAGGCGTTTGCGTTGTGTGTAGGTCCATTCTTGACCGTACGAGTCGGCGACATCGTTGATGGCAGGCGAGTCCCACTGTTTCCGCAGACCTAACAGCCGACTCGGCCAAAAACCGTTCTCCGCCATTATCACAAAGTAGACAAAGAAACCAGCACAGGCCTGGATCATTCCGATCTGACCATAGGCCATTGAGATTAGACGCTCGTTCACAAGCTTGTCACGCAAAGGATCACGCGGCATACGCTTCATTATGTCGCTTTCTGCTTCCTCGTAAGCCAAGGAGATGGCGGGTACCTGGAGGTTTTCAATTGCAAAGGTTCATGACTACTTAGGCAAATAGACAGGTCGACAACAAACTGTTTTATTAGCAATCAATCAGGTTAACGACATAGGCTTACAGCTCAATCCAGAAAACACTTGGTTCTTGCTGGCAGTAACAGAAATCAAATCATAGTAGTCAGTCAATTTTCACTACTTGCAGATCAACCACACCACGTAGTCATGACTTACCATATCAGTTCCCAGATCAATGCAAAGGATGGTAATGACTCCCAGGGGAAGAGGAATGTCAGCCACGACGAACAACAGGAAAGGCGTGATCTCTGGAATGTTGGAGGTCAAAGTGTAGGCGATCGACTTCTTCAAGTTATCGAAAATTATACGGCCCTCCTCCACACCCGTCACAATTGACGCGAAATTGTCGTCCAACAAGATCATATCTGCAGCCTGCTTGCTCACGTCACTTCCCGTGATACCCATTGCCACACCAATGTCCGCTTTCTTCAGAGCTGGAGAGTCGTTCACTCCGTCACCGGTTACTGCAACAATGGCACCCATTCGCTGGAAACCTTCTACAATAATTAGCTTCTGTTGGGGTGATGTTCGTGCGAAGACTATCTCCGAGTGGTTCTCGAGCACCTCGTCAATCTGAGCTGGGGTCATGTCACGTAGATCTGAGCCGTGGATCACACAAGCACTGGCCTCGCGAGGGTTCACCTCACTGACGGGAACACCACGTTCGGCTGCGATATCTTGGGCTGTGCTACTCCCTTCCGAGATTATGCCTACTGACTTGGCAATGGCCTTTGCAGTAATTGGATGATCACCAGTCACCATGACCACCTTAATACCCGCAGAGCGACATTTTGCCACGGCATCAGGTACTGCAGCGCGAGGG